TTTGTTTTAGCATGTAACCTAATGGCTCAATGTTTTATGGCTCATGGCTCATTTTAAAAACCTTCCCATCGATGTAATTTTCACATTACTGAGTTATTCCAACACAAATACAATGACAGTCCTGCTGGAAGTACTGCAGCTGGCTGCAGCTGTTGCTATTTCTACTTGCATTATAGCTGTAAAATTTTGTTATGAACTGAGATTGTTTTCTTAAACCCACTGGACTGTCACTGTTGGTGGCAAAATGCAAACTTTTGTGAGGGATTTTCCAAAATGTTTCGAAATTCACAAGAATCTAGGAATTATCTGAATAATTGGTGCAACAAGTTTTCTGCCAAACAAGTCAGACATCTTGTCAGGGTCTGAAACCCATCAGCAACTCCTGGAATTGGTGATGAGTGATGCTATAATTCTCTAGACATCTAGAGCACTAAAGCTGTATTTATTGTTTTTATTTTATGACCACATAATATTGACCACATTTTATGATCATAAAATATCAGAATATTTTAGTGATCCCCAGGGGAAAAAAAACACATGTATGTAACCACATGTCAAGACTTGGCCCAATCTCATTTAGTGTGAATCCAAGTAAAATTAATGTGTCTCCAACTGGTCTACAACAGGCTGCGACCCTCTAGAACACGGGTGTCCGATCCTTGTCCTCAACGGACCTTATCCTGCATATTATTAGGGATGTCCCGATCGATTTTTTTGGCTCCCGACACAATCCGATTTTTTTAATGATTAGTCTTTTCGATACCAATCTGATACCAATCTGATACCAATCTGATACCGATCCGATAGCTTTATTTCTTTATTTCTTTCCAGGTGATAAGGTTGGTATTAAAGCGAGCCCTGCTGTTCCCACCACGAGAAACATCCAGTTTGCAGATTTTGCAAGATGCAGTTTCAGCGTCATTGTTTTCCACTGAAAAGTGTTCCCACACTGTGGACGTTAGGGTTGAGCATAATCGWATCGTGTGCAATCAATCGTCAGAAAAACATTAATCTATTACTTTTTGAYACTTAATTAATACGATTAATGCCACCATCAGTCTGCTTGGTGCTCCTCTCCGCTTCAAATATGACAAACCTTAAAAACAAAAAGTTCTGTAATTTATTTATCTATCAACACAATTTAAAATTTGATGTATAACCTGAAGCCTGTAATTTTGACACAATTTGGAACAGATTTTTACAAAGAGCAAATCTTTCCCACTAAATTGGTCATKTGACTAGGGCATGCAGTGGTCCAGGGACTCCARGGGATTAATCGTCAAATTAATCGTTATCGGCTAAATACCACAATTAATCGTAATTAATTTTTTTTGCCAATATTGCCCAACCCTAGTGGACATGGTTGCATACTTTGTGTGCGTCTTGACTTCTTAACGGCAGTTGTAAAGCATGATGATGYTGAAAACTGTYGCAAAAACTGGATCGGCCCGATCACATGACTGAATCTGATTCTACATGATTTTCAAAAAAATGGCCACATCTGCCACTGATACCGATACYGAGTATCTGATCAGGACATCCCTACATATTATACTTGTTTTCCTGCTCCAACACACCTGATTCARTGATTGAATTACCTCTTTAAATCTGCAGAARCCTGTTAATCACTCATTCATTCAAACCAAGTGTGTTGGAGCAGAGAAACCTCTAAGGTCGTATTCAGACCTGATAATTTGCTCCGTTTTAAACGAACCAGAGTTCGTTTCCAGCGTTGGTCCGGACCTTTTGTGCAGGTGTGAATACACTCATGCGAACTCTGGTGCGGATCAAACAACCGGACCGAGACCTGCTTTTTGAGGTGGTCTCGGTCCGCTTCCAAATGAACTCTGGTGCAGTTCACTTTAGTTCTCTTCTGGTGTGAATACAGACCGGACTCTAAACGAACCAACTGCATTAAACATGCACCTTTTTGGACTTCACAGGCTACCGTTGCTGAGCTAAATAAACTAAAAACATACCTGTTTCATCGCCTCCTGTTAGCAGCTCTGCTGCCGGCATGTTGTGGGTCAGAACACGCAGCGCACCTCGTCTCCTTTGGGTTGCGGGACACATTTACTGACGCCGCTCCAAAATTAGAATATCATCACRGAACCACCATTAAATTAGCTGCTTCTGACATTTTAAATGCTATTGCAGTTGTATTATCAGCATAAATGTGCGCATCAGAACCGCAGCATGCAGGACTYCCTTGTTTTCTTCTGGATCTGTGGCTCAGTCCCGCCCCCGTCCTTTTTTTGTCCAATGGGAGCAATGATTGTCAGCCTCATGGCTTTGTTTACAAGTTATAGTTCRTTTGCAAAAATGCACAATGTGAATGCAAACCGCACCAAACGAAAAAAAAAAAGTCCGTTTTTGGTCCGGACCAAACAATTGGACCAAAGGACTTTCCTGGTCTGAATACACCCTAAAACATGTAGGATAGTGGCCCTCGAGGACCGGGGTTGGACGCCCTTGTTTTAGAACAACAGCAATCCACTCCAGTCTTGGCATCACACAGCCACTATGAAATGTTTGAGACTGGAGTAGTTTTGACACAACCTGGAATCCACTTTGGTCCTCGCCCTGCTTGGAGTAGTCATGTCTAGTCCAAATTAAACTATACTTTGCCAAACTAAGAACGTTCGAGGACCCATCTGCAACAGGTCAGAAAATAATTATTCATAACTTTTTCATGGAGCCCCACTTCAAAGAGCTGAACTACCCCTTTAACAGTCCTCAACAATTGTCTTTTTAAATGCACTCAACTGTTGATCCTGTGACTGATTTCCATCTTGAACAGTGCTTAAAAGATGTATTCACATGAGAAAATGTGGTCAGAATTGGACACAGTTAATGGGATTATGAAGTTCCGTAGTACAGTAATGGCTTGAGTTATGTGACGTTTTCCATCGCCCGAATGCAAACAGCATCTGAAGTGATCTTCTTTATAAATCCGGCTCTCTTTCACTTCTAAACAGGAGCCTCACGGGGCCAACTTATCATTACGCCACATCAGCGATGCAGAGGTCTGCTCGGCCAGCCTGAAGGAATAGTTAATTTAGATGACAGAAGTAAGTTAACACTGAGAAGATTTGCTCTCCCTGAGTGAATATAAAATTCACTGTTAGGGAGAATATTCAAGCGCCTTTGAGGTCGATCTTCAAAGAGTTCCTTTTTTTTTATTTTGTCAAACCTTGCCCTGGAAATGTAAAAATTGAAAGGGAAGGAGAAATTGGGGGTAAAAATGGCAGATGAGGTTGTGTCAGCGTCTGGTCCGTTCTTGGCAGGGAGAGGCTTTCAGAGCTGGCTTTGGATGTTCTCTTTAAACAAGACACGCTCTCTGCTTAGGATCTACATAAATCACAAGACTCACTCAGCCCTGAGTGTTCATTCACATTAATGTTCAGTGTAAATTCAAATCCTTGTTTTTTTTGGTGGCACTTAACTCTGCTGGTCCCTTGTGTATATTTCTACGTCCACTTTACTCCGTTGTGTTGAGTCTACAGCGGCGAGGCGGTGGAAGCTCCTGACATGATGTTATCAGAGTCCGTCTTGCAAATTATCAYGCTAACAAAACATTGTAATTTAGAGGCTCGGGTTTCAATCTGATAGGGTAGCATAATATTAGTGTAATTCATTATTTTGTTTTCTTTCATTTCTCCGAAGTTAAAAAGCCRAAATCCCACATGGCAGCATTAATGTCAGCATTAATAACGCTTAGGAATGACAGAACATGCATCAACTAGACAAGTTTTTTTTTCCACGGCTGTGGAGGCATATTTCAACAAGACATCAGTTTGCAGCAAGCAAACGCATGTAGAAACATTGATTCACAATGCCAGTAAGTAATCTAATGTTTGTATTTGTGTTGTTTAGAACGACTCCCCTCCTCCCTGCGCCTGTAGCTAAGTTCACTTCTTTTTCTGTTGTCATTAGATAAATATTCTCTCCAGGACTCTGTCATCATAATGAGGGTGCCATCCGAAGCAATCATCCTGGGAGATGGTCATTGAGTTAAGAGTGAGGGAAAGAGGAGGGGTAGAGCCAACCGTCGCAGATTAAAAAAAACTAAACTAAATGAAGTGAGACCGAGACGGAAAAATGCGAGGAAGAGAAACAAAAGCATTTCAGAGGAAGGGAGTGAGTCGAAACAGCAGACTAAGCGGAGATGGTGATCATTTGGGGAATTCCACACACACACACACACACACACACACACACACACACACACACACACACACACACACACACACACACTCTTCGTGTCTAGCTGCTCAGTGTTAAGGTCAGAGTCACACTCTGTCTCCCCAGGTCATTATCAAGGGCCCTAAAATAGACAGTCAATTGTGTCACAGTGTGTGAAGTGACTGTGACATTGGATAAACAACCTTAAACTCCCAAGTTGGAGCACACTCTATAACAAATGGGGGATTGGCGCGCACACGCTGATTTAAAAATGGCCATGCAGGCGTGCGCACGCACACACATCAAGAGGAGGCATTTAGCTAGCTGCACTGTACCAGCAAGTGGTGACACATGTGGCCCCAAAGGGAGTGGGCTGCCCGAGGACTTGGCAAGCAGCTGGAACTCTCAGTGCTAAACTATTTACTGACGGAGAACACACTCACACACTCACACACACACTCACACACACGTCGAAGTTTGACCATGTTCCTCCTCACCTCAGCGTCCAGCCTCTCTCAGTAGACTGTAATGTTGTTCCTTTCGTTTGACTTCACTTTATTGWGTTAATGAGAGATGGCGTTGAGAGGAGCTGCCGGTTGATTGAGGGTGAGAACTGCTAATCACTGGAACAGCTAATCAGTGCTTGTCGTAAATATTGATTAGTTCTGTGCGTTATGGACGTGCTCATTAACCAACGTGTCACCGTCTCCTCTCTCCCCCCCCACTCTCTCTTTTCTTTACCCTCCATCACGTCCTCCCATTCCTTGTCCTTTGTGTCGTCCTCTCTCTCTTTCACCCCCCCACCCCCATTACAGCAACCTCCAACGGCACGGTCGAGGGTCTGGAGAACCGGGAGGGAGGCGTGTGCAAGAGCCGAGCCATGAAAGTCATCATGAAAGTCGGGCAAGGTAAATGTGCGCTCACCTCACATGTAGAACACAATGCAGCAATGCTGCCTTCAAGCCATGTTTCACTTTGGTGTGACATTCTCATTTATCGCTAGTGTGACTTTGTCCGCCGCTGCCTCCGTCCAACGACACATTCTCCCAGGAACTGAAAAGTAGAAACATTTTATCCATTTTTGGTCAGGTTTTTGTACAGAGCTCAACATAAATACCTTGGAAAACAGRATTTTGTTGATGAAATGCCACTAATTTCAGAAAGTGGAAACTCTTAAGTCAGGTTAAATTCAGGTGGTGACGTCTTGATTTATTTGTTTTATTACAGTGAAATACATAAAAACAGAGTAATGTATTTTACACAAGGTATTTTTGCGTTGTAAGGCTTGCCCCGGCCTTATTCTACCCCAGACCTGACTATGTTTACATTCATGTAAGGTTACTTTCATCTATGTGACGTAACCCCCAGCCCTGGTCAATGAACCAATCAATGAACAACAGTAGCTGACATCAAACTGGGACGGGCAGGCCCAGAYAGAACCACGAGTCTTAGGGTTCTGGAAATCAAGGTGCAACTGGGCCATAAGGGCYAATGCAAACACACTGATGCCAGGCTGGCTTGGTTTCAGTCTGTAGCTCTGCCATGAAGAAGTAGCATGTTTGTGAAAATTAAAGTGCCTGTGACATGAAATATTTTGAATAAATATAAATGCATTATTGAAAAGATAACATCAAAAACATATTGCAAATATAATTTCCTGCYGCTGTGATGAACAGTTGTAGAAATATTTRCATGTGAAGTAACAGGAAGTGATGTCAAAGGGGAATGAATATCTGCATGTGAACAGAGCWTTGAATAAATGACTAATGATACAGACTGTAGAGAATTTGATGATTATTTTAATTCACTATCCGAGAGAGATGAAGAAGAGTCAGAGTTCAAATAATATTGTTTCAATGAATAAAGACCAGAGTTTTCTTTGTTAAAGAGTTCCCCTTTGATGTCACTTCCTGTTTCACTTTGTTTGAGCCAAGTTTAAAGGAAAATATGCCAATTATTTGATAAAATGGGTAAAATCAGATGTATTATGCAAGATTTCTTAATTTTTTTATTTCAAACTTTATTAATTTCTTAAAAACAAAATTCTATGTAC